GCTACCAGTCATTATACACAAAGTGTCAGTGTCACAGGTTCATAGTGTTGTCTCCAGCTGCAGGTCGGGACGATGAGGTGGGGGAGGAAGGTTTTTGGTACTTCATAATCATCTTCACTGTCCTTCCAGTCCCTCTCACTACATTGTAGGCCTCATTACTGGTGGTCTGGAACGGACTTCTGCGAGAAAAGACGAACACGCATTGCGTGAATCTTCATAATATCTTGAGGGTGTTTCTTACGCGTAGGTTTCGTCTGATATCTTGGAGAGTTCTAGAACTGTAGCAGCAGATCCTGGAGCATCCACCATCTCACTTCTGTATGTGTACAGCATACATAGAATAGGTTGTGGTGAGTGAGGAGTATTAGCATGCCTTCTCTTGGCAGAGTTGCCTCTCTGACGTCTCAGTAGCAGAGCTATCACCACATGTAGAACGAGGGTTGCTGCAGCAATGATCAATACAGCCCCTACCACTCCACCAATGGTCGCACCACTCTCTGATTCACTCGATGAACTCCTTGCTGGGATATCGTCACAGGCTGTAAATTAGACACCAAAATAGGTGGCAAGAATTTAAAAAAGTGCGATTTGACTTTACCACAGGTAGAGAAAAGTATGGGAGTGCTGTCAGTGGTTCCAGCTACATTAGTGGCTGATACAGTGAGTGTGTAGATAGTGGAGGGGTCCAACTGGTGGATGGTGTAGGTAGTGCCAGACAGAGGACCACTGGTGCTCTCAGTGCCTCTGTCAGTGGGTCTCCAGACCACCTCCCAACTGGCCACCCACTCCCCACTGGACACACTCCAGGAAGGGAGATGGAGGTGGCTGTATGGAGCTCACTGACACAAACACCTGTCCTGGAGCTGGGACTGGAATATCGATTACATTAGATTGAAATGTAGGCCTTCTATCTCTCTCTTACTTAGTGGTGATTTCCCAATGTGGTGTGGGGGCAATCAATCACCGAAGAAGTGTTCAGATGTGCTACAACAATGATATATGGTGTAGGTCGGTCCATTTGTTAGACCAGTCCATAGTGTACTGTTGGTAGAGCCACCAAATCAATATCCATATCAACTGCCGTCCAGTGAAGGAGATCCTTTAGCCAGTGGTATCTCCCAGTGGAGAGGGAGGTTTCAAATGTAGTTTATGTGTACTACTGTTGACATTACACATCCGCCTGTTGTATAGCTGCTAGCAACATAAGGTACATTGATAAACGCCAGAGAGAGCGGAATTCCGGGAGTTAAATTCTTCGGTTTCAGTCCCAGCTCCAGGACAGGTGTTTGTGTCAGTGAGCTCCATAACAGCCACCTCCATCTCCCTCTCCTGGAGTGTGTCCAGTGGGAGGGTGGCCAGTTGGGAGGTGGTCTGGAGACCCACTGACAGAGGCACTGAGAGCACCAGTGGTCCTCTGTCTGGCACTACCTACACCATCCACCAGTTGGACCCCTCCACTATCTACACACTCACTGTATCAGCCACTAATGTAGCTGGAACCACTGACAGCACTCCCATACTTGTCTCCACCGGTAAGTATATTGTTTTACTCCAACATGCCACAGCAAGTTTTTTTTGTTGCATGTCTTAGTTCCTACAGTGTCTGAGATTCTCCAAGCAGAAAATATTGATACCACATGTTCAGAGAGTGGTGCGACCATTGGTGGAGTGGTAGGGGCTGTATTGATCATTGCTGCAGTGACCCTCGTTCTACATGTGGCGATAGCTCTGCTACTGAGACGTCAGAGAGGCAACTACTCCACCTCTGCCAAGAGGAGGCATGCTTAATACTCCTCACTCACCACAACCTATTCTATGTATGCCGTACACACACAGAAGTGAGATGGTGGATGCTCCTGGATCTGCTGCTACAGTTCTAGAACTCTCCAAGATATCAGACGAAACTTACGCGTAAGAAACACCCTCAAGAATAATAATTTATGAAGATTCACTCAATGCATGTTCGTCTTTTCCGCAGAAGTCCGTTCCAGACCACCAGTAATGAGGCCTACAATGTAGTGAGAGGGACTGGAAGGACAGCTGAAGTTGAATATGAAGTACCACAAAACCTTCCTCCCCCCACCTCATCGTCCCGACCTGCAGCTGGAGACAACACTCTATGAACCTGTCTGACACTGACACTCTGTGTGTATAAATGACGTGGTAGCTGAAGTATTATATTTTGTCTTCACCTTTGTTTTTACTCGTTTTTAAGATTGCTCTTTCAATTGCCATTTGACATAGTTTTTTTATATCACTCGTAGAAGATACACTGTGTCAACCACCCCACACCCACTATGATAACAGTAGTACAAATGGAAAATGAACACACAGTAAGAAAGAAACACAGTCATACTTTGTGAGTGGTCAGAGAGCCTCAAACTCTCTAATGACACTTACTATAGCAGAAAGAGGTAAACTATAGGTTTGAGGTATACCTTCATGCATAAGTGTCTTCATTCACACTCTGCCAAAGTTTTTCCTGCCAATCTTAGCACAGAACTGATTTCTTCTCAAAGGTCAAGCGAAAGTGTTTTCTGCATGTTGCCTGCTCTAGGGAGTCAAGAACAGAGATCAGTTCCCGGCTGAAGTGGTGGAGGCCTACAAGTACACGTTCTCCAGGCCAGGAGGGCTCACTGGACCCATTAACTACTATCGTGCCATGTTCTCATCTCCCAAGGACAGCTTGCCTCGCGAGAAGTGGACAATTTCTGTCCCAACTCTCATCATATGGGTACATAACAAACATACAAACACTATGGAGTGATCCCAAGAGCCCTATAATCAATGTGCTCTATATAGAACATGCTAATTACGAATGTGCTCTAGAAAAATTTCCTTCATTTACCAGCATGGTTTGTAAGACGAGTGCCTAGTAGTATATTGGTAGCTAAGTGTGTGTAACTGTTGGTACAGGGAGATGATGATCACGTCACACAAATGGAAAACAAACACACAGTAAGAAACAAAGTGCGAAAACACAGTCATGGACGGTCAGAGGGCCTCAAACTCTCTAATGACAGCCTCGCTGTGCAGCTGGGGGTCTCCCAGTACGTCAATGTATGTGTTGGGTCTGATCTTCTCGGCAAAGGCCAGCACCACGTGGAGGTCTCCGTCACTCTCCAGAGACAGGTCCTGCTGGAGGGTGTCTCGGTTCACTCGAGATCTGTCAGCCACGCCTCCTCTGCTGAGAGCCAGTACCCCGACTATCTGCTCACCCGTGTGGGACTTCCTGTGGAGATATAATATAGAGTATAATGTGTGAGCATGATAGGTGGTAGAAATGAACACTTTATTGAGATTATTAAGACAACTTATGAAGGGATTGCTGTTGTGACATCATACAGTGTTTGTAGTACTGTAGACGCCATACATTGTCCTTTATGTGGACTGTATGTAATTTTTCGAAACTCACAGGCGAATTGAAATGTTGGTGCCACAGTATTAACGTGTATATGGAGACCCCATCTTCTCATTCATGACCAGGAAACATTGACCAGTGATTGCATTCATTGAGTGTTTTGACTGTCGCTACTCTGTTGGTAACAGTTATTGCGGCTCCAACAAATACCCCAGAGGACCACCACTTGTGTTATGGTGTCCAAAAACTAGCGTGTGTAGTACGTAATACGTATGTATATATAACTAGCAACAAACACTGCTGGATATGCTGAAAGACACAAACACAGGTAGGGGATATATGGACACCAGCCAACTCTAAAACTCTGGGACCAGTGGGAAGTTGATAGTGAGCTGGAGCGTGGCTTACGGTTCGGCATCCACGTATTTGGAGAGAGCGAGGGCCTTTAGCTTGAGGTGGTGCAGGAAGTGGAAAATGAATCCCTCCCTCACTCCGCCGTCCACTGGGAGCAACCTCATCCAAATCATTTTGTGTGTAATGCGAGGTGAATTACCAACTCACTTCATTATGACGTGATATTTGTGTGAATCCTACAGGTCATAGTGCATGCATCCTCCAAAGAGTAGATCTATGAGAAGCTACGTGTGTGGCATGCTGTGGCGTTCTGTTTTGCGTGTACGCTGTAGGACAGTTACTGCACGTGCTCTTCGCGCTCCTCAGAAACCCACGCAAAGCGCTGAAAAGGACAGCTAGAGACAGTAAGCGCCTAGCTCTAATATAACAGTGGTTGAGTGTGGGAATTGAATAGTCCCTCCAGCCTGTCTGTTGGACCCTGCTCTGGGCTCCCACGAGTACGTGACAGCCAATGGACTAAAGTTCCACTGCGTCTGTGCAGGAGACACGTCCAAACCTCTCATGTTGCTGCTTCACGGCTTCCCCGAGGTCACCTCTCTCACTCCTCACATCTCACACTCCTCACACATTCACTTTCCCCGTAATGTTTTATACAGTTCTGGTTTTCGTGGCGTCATCAGTTGAAGGCCTTCAGTAAAGACTACCATGTGGTGGCTGTCGATATGAGGTAGTGTAAAAAAGAGAACGATGTTTTAATCAAAAAGTTTCACCCTTATTGCGTAGCCATATATAGAATTCAACCCATGAAGTTTATAAAAGATATATAATCAAGTGGTTGTATATAAGGAACCCCCTTAATTGTGTAGCTTCTCTCTCTCCACAGAGGGTATGGTGACACGGACCACCCAGTGGGGTCCTCGGAATACTCCTTCAACCATCTCACTGCAGACATTGTCGAACTCATCCCCGCCCTCGGCCACTCCTCTTGCGTCCTCGTCGGCCACGACTGGGGAGGCGTGGTCTCATGGTGAGGGGTGTGGTCAAACACCAATGAATTTAATTACATCTTCCTAATTGCAGGAGAGTAACTCAGAGGTATCCGGAGTTGGTTGATAGACATATTGTCCTGAACTGTCCTCATGGAAGGTTCGAAATTTAATGTTAGTTGACTAATGTCAATTTCAATTCATGTAGGGTGTTCAAGAAGTTCCTTGAGAATAGCTGGACACAGTTGAGGAGATCTTGGGTCAGTTTCTCATCCACACTACTCTAAACTACTCCCCCCCCTCTCTCTCTTCCTTTTCTCCAGTTCATATTCTTGTTCCAGATCCCGAGACTGCCTGAGGCTCTGATCAGTCTCCAGGACTACCAGTTTCTGGAGCAACTCTTCACCAGCCACACCTCAGTATGTAGCCCGTTGTGTAGGTCTCTTTCACTATAGCAGAAAGAGGTAAACTATAGGTTTGAGGTACCTTCATGCATAAGTGTCTTCATTCACACTCTGTTTTCTGTCAATTAAAAGTTTTTTTCTAACTGATTTGTCTTCCAGTATAGCTGAACTGTTTTCTGCATGTTGCCTGCCACAGGGAGTCAAGAACAGAGATCAGTTCCCGGCTGAAGTGGTGGAGGCCTACAAGTACACGTTCTCCAGGCCCGGAGGGCTCACTGGACCCATTAACTACTATCGTGCCATGTTCTCATCTCCCAAGGACAGCTTGCCTCGCGAGAAGTGGACAATTTCTGTCCCAACTCTCATCATATGGGTACACAACAACAAACACTATAGAGTGATCCCAAGAGCCCTACATAATCAATGTGCTCTATATAGAACGAATGTACTAGAAAATATTCCTAAATTTTAACAGTATGGTTTGTAAGACGAGTGCCTAGTAGTATTATTGGTAGCTAAGTGTGTGTAACTGCTGGTACAGGGAGATGATGATCACGTGCTGCAGAGAGAGATGGCAGACTGCCACGACACCATCTGCTCTGACCTGACTGTGAAGTTAGTGGGAGATTAGGTTGTATGACCAGTGTTTCCCTCTCCTCTCTCTCCCTCTCTGTCACCCTCTCTCCTCTCCAGACATATTCCCAACTGTAGTCACTGGGTCCAGCAAGATGTGCCGGACCTCTGCAACCAGTACATGACTGACTTTCTCTCTACTAAATCTGTTTCAATGTAGTTTATGTGTACTACTGTTGGACATTACACATCTTGTTATTTTAAAGATGCTAGCACATGAGTTGATAAATGCCAGTGAGGGCTGGAATTTTCTGTATATGTCCACATCAATGGGAGTGTTTTATCTCTGCTATCCATCAGCCTGCGTCAACTCAGTTGCTCAGTCGGTGGTGTGAGTGATGTGCAACAGATCAATGATGAGAATTGTGTCTCTGTTGAGTCTCCTCTGGTCTCTGGTGGAGGTCCACTCTCAGAGCTTTCCCAGTCTCTCCTTCAAGGCCAGACTCTGGCCAACAATTCCTATGTGGACATCAGTCAAGTGGGGAATAATAGCAGTGGTAGTGACAGTGTTCAGTGTCATACTGACCTGGAGTCATGTTGTAGTGGTACTGATGGTCCTCATCGTGGAGACTGGTATTTCCCTAATGGAACTAGACTGCAATTCTCTGTTGGTAGTGGTGATATCTATGAGCATCGTGGAGCTCAGAGAGTTGACATACGTCGTAGGAACAATGCTAAACTCACCAACTGGTATCTATCGCTGTGATATTCCAACTAATGCTGTCCATGATGATACTGACACTCAGTGAGAGACACAGTCTATGTGGGACTGTATACTGCCAGTGGAGGTAAATTTAATTAGTAGCTACTTCCATTTTCTTGTTAGTCATCGGATAGCTAAAAGGCATGAATACATCTATGATTCTCCTCTTTCGCCACATACATGCAAACTCATGCACTCACTTAACGTTACTATGTTTCGCTGATTAGCAATTAGGACCCTTAGGTTTGGTTCTTTGCTGTAGGAGACATCTCAATATCTGGAGGAGTGACATTTGACCCTAGCCAGCTGACCCTCACCTGTATCTCCACTGGTGGACCTGCTACCACTGTCACTTGGACCAGAGACAATGTCAATATCACTGGAGAGCAAAACGAGACTGTGTTGAATGACCAGTGACTGCACAGTACACCCACACTCTGACTGTGACTACTGCAGGAGAGTACACATGTACTGTGGCTAATAACAAGCCATCTTCTGCTTCAGCTAGCACCACTGTAGCAGGTAAAATGTCCGCAAATCACTGTTTTGGCATGCCAGGCTAAAAACCACGAACACTAGAAAAAGGAATGCAGCAATTTTTGCAAGTGGAAGGCAAGCAACTCTTTAATAATTTGCGTGTCATTACGGTATGTGCCGCCTGCTATTGCAGACAGGCTCGCTTGCTCACCAATTATGTGAATGAGGACACTGATGCAACGTTAAAAACTCTCAGTGTTTGACAGAGAGCTAATACGGGTATATACTCTCCAAGCGCCTGTGACCCACTTAAGTTTGTGGCACTAAAGTAATCGGCTCAATATTATAGTTGCAGTAGTTTGTACTACTACAGCCAAGACCGGAAGGTCAAACAGCATGTAGTTTCCTCAGTCCTACACAATTGAAAGTGTCCCATGGATACAGTTTCAGGTCCCTATATTACTTCCAATGGTAAAGTATCATTGGTGCTTCGCTTTCAGGTCCCCCCATCT